AGTCTTGATAGTTGATTCAACAAACTTGATCCCATAATTTAGCCTGTCTTTTGAGTCCTGTGGTTCAGTTACATTGCAACATCTTCAATTAGATATGCATATATGAATAACGAACGTTGTTGCAGCTAAAAAGTATACGAGACTTTGCACACAACTAAAAGGCAAAGCCTGGCCAAATTCCTAAACAAAAAAGCATAGTGAATTTTAATCCTATAATTCATACTACCTCTATTTTTTTTAAATATCATTTTGGCTTTATCAACAATTAACCAAATAAATGACGTTTTAGATCTTTTGTACATGTTTTCTATTATTGTCTTCATCTAGCTAATAAATATACTACGTTTTTTCATATTCGCTTTCCATTTTTTCTCAAAACATCCATCTCTATCCTTATTAATGAGGGTTATTATTGGCAATTTTTTTTCTTAATTACTGTGCAACTTCTTAAAACGACACTTATTAACAACGGGGAAATTATATTATAGGGCTTGACTTTTTGTTATTGTGTCACAATAACACCTGAATTTTTAACTCTTTCATTTCAGTGTTTCAATTTTAAGTTATTGTTAATATAAGGCCTACTTTTACATTCTACTTTTCAATTTAAGACTACAAATCATTTTGTATTTTGATACAATTATGTAAACCACAATACACTTTGCTTTTAAAAAAAAAAAAAATCTTTTTTAAATAATTAGAAATATTTTTAGAAAAATTAATTTAATAAGAAAATCAATTCAAATAAGAAATATTTTTGGTAAAATACTTTAATAAGAAAACTAATTCATTTAAGTTAAATTTATTTTTCATAATGTAACTAATTTGTATTAATTTTCTTACGAAGCTAGATTTACAAATATATTTAATATTTTTGTTATAGGCGTTAATTAATTTTATATATTCTTAACTTTTTAAAAAATATGAATTTTATTCATAAATAATATTTTCTATAAGTTTATTTAAAAAAAATAATTTTTTTAAATAGTTTATATTTTAATGTTGTCACATATTTTGATTAAAATTAAGTTAATTTTTTTTNAGAGTATTGTGATTTATATAATTATATCAAAATACAAAGTGATTTGGAGTCTTAAATTGAAAAGTAGAATGTAAAAGTAAGTCTTATATTGAGAATAACTTAAAATTGAAACCCTCAAATGAAAAAATTGAAAATCCATGCCTTATTGCGACACAATAACAAAAAGTCAAGCCATACAATGGAATTTTCCCTATTAACAATAGGAGGGAGTACATGAAATTAGTGAGGTTGAATACATAATACAAACTGATCAACCCAGGATTCTGATATGCTGCCCAAGATTATGTCAGAGAAGAAGAAACTGAACCTGGACAGGCCTATTTTATCGGTTAGAAAATACTCGTCAATCAAACTGGAAAACACCAGCATTCATCCTGTTAAAATTGGTGGGTCAGTCCCTTTCCTATGGGAAAAGAGTCCTGGGAAAGCAAGAGAAAACGAGGATAATAATAACAAGCGCAACTCTCGGAATACCCAAAGAGAGGAGAGAAAGAGCTGTGATTCGAATGACAAAGCATTTGCAGACGCACTCAACACGCTATCAAGAATCGAATATTTTCTCCTCCTCAACAACGGCTGCACGGAAAAGAATGGTCTTCAAAACCGGGAGCTAATGGTGGATGGATTTCTCCCTCACACAACCGAAAAGCAATCACAGCGACAACTGAGACTCAAAATGAGAGTAGTGTGGCGTGACAGCTCAGACGTTCACGGCATGGGAAAGTGGTTTAAAGAAAGAAACACGAATTCAAATGAGAATAAGAGCATGCGGCAGAACAACGGATCAAATAGAATAACTTTTGAGCAACTTTTGGCTGATACTTGTGATAAGGCGAACAATACACAGAGTTTGAACACAAATTCAAATATTCATCCGCCTCTGTTGAAATCGCCAGCAGATTCTTGGCTTGGCCGTACTTTGTCAGCAAAGAAAAGATTACCACATTCGTACGTTGGTTGGTCAAATAAATCATTAAAACCAGATGAGTAGAAGCTGTTGATTGTATTGAGCCTGCTGATGAACACTACAAAAAGCCAAAATGTCCGGAGGACATTCCATAAACACATATCTACATTTATACATAGACAGAGATATTTTATCATATTATTTAGTCACAATGTTTCTCAGTTCGTCAGCAGCAACTGTATGATAAACTTACTGAGAGAAATTCCACTGTCTCATTACATCCATTTCATGTCTCTGAAGGGATAAACAAATTGTGTTGTGAAAATGGTTTGAGCTTATTTTATGTAATTTCTCATATATCACTTAACTATGGATATTCGATCATCTGAGACTTCCTCAGAAAATTGGATGTGAAACATTATTTGGACTTCCTTAACAAATCGTTAGAATAATCTTCATCGATTTGAATGCATATTTGTTTCAATTGTAATCCAATAACATATCCAATAACTCAGAGATGTCATCATCAACCCGACGGATAGAGACAACTGTAAACAATTTCTACAACACATCACACACTTGACATTATTTACCAAAGTACGGAGTCTGTCGACCTATCAGACTAGGTCTCAGTTATGGTAAGTCAAATAAATAAGTATCGAATGCATATGACTATTTTTATTGTCGTACGGATTAAGAGAACGCAACAATTACTGAGCTCTTGATTATTTACCTAGATCAGTATAAAATAATCTTATCCTCACTAGGCCCGTTCAATACAACGAGATGTACTAATGTAATTAACCAGTCAAATACCAGCTAATTCAAAATCACACTACAGCCTTGCACGAAAGTTTGCTCAATTTCATCTAAGTTGTGAATAAATATTTATATTTTTTAAGGCACCGATAATATGGTCTTTCTGTTTGACACATAAAACCACATTACCTACAATGTAACATAAAGAAACTATGTTCGCATAAATAAAAAAAAAAAATACGACATACATTTGGTTAAAAACGTGAATCTCATTCAAAATGGAATTGGGAGTAACACAAAGCCAAGCTTCTACAGTATACTCCAACAGTCAACACTTCCCACGGCCATGTACAAAATATTATTTATTTCACTCATCCCTATGACTAATTAGTATTGCCCGTTGTCCGCAGCAGAGTCGCACTGGCCGGCCCATGTACATGTCGCTATTCATATCCTTTTATATGTACTACTAGTACGAATCACGTGCGATGCACGGGTAAGAAATATTCATTAATATTTATAAATTACAAATGTTCATTAATAATATTTATAAATTAGAAATATGGAATCAATATATAATACAATTTATCTATATTAATTTGTTGAAAATGTTGTATGAAATTTAAATTGTGCAAAATTATATAAAACATGTCTATTTAATGGACTAGATCAAAATGGCTCAATTAAATTCTAGTGCTTCTTCTATTAATGAAGTTTCTAGAAAAAAAAATATATCAAACGGCGCAATGCACCTTGGGTCGCTACGGAAACAGCCTCCTTGTATAATTACAAGGGTAAAGTCTGCGTACAACTGACCCCCCAGACCCCAACCTGTTGGGAATATACTGGGTATGTTGTTGTTGTTATTGTTGTTGATGTCTATTTAAAATTAGTATACGAACCGTACGGTGCAAATAACTTATAAGAAGGTACATTATATTCATTTCAAAATAGGCGTCATTTTAAAAAATTTTATTCAAAAATTCGATTTGACTACAATGTGATTTAAGTAAAAACAAACCTTTATACACACACAAACACCAAATAATTTGATATGTTCCAAGCACATTTACAAAGAAAAATCAACCATAATAGAATGCAGATTTTTCTTTCATTTATATCGAGTAAAATGCTTAGCAATATGAAAAAAAAAATATTGAGATACCATTTATTACCAAGCGGATACATTGGATCAATACATAATATACCAAATAATTCGATTTCATACTTTACTAACAAAATACAAAAAATATTCAGTTTAATCACGATATTAATTACACAACGTACAATACATTTATTATAGATAAAAATAAAAAAATACCTAAAAAATAGTTATTAAAAAATAATTAAATAGAAACTACCAATAACAGATTTATTTTAGAATAGTTTTATTAGAAAGTATAATTAAATAAATCAACTGAATTCACACGATCTGCGTAATTAGGATATCTTAAAAATGTAAATTTTTACGGTCAAATTATTTCCTTAAATATCCAAGAATTGAGCAATTAAATACACAAAAAATGAATAACATTTATTAAATAATATTTAAAACACAAACTTTTTAGAACACTTTTTGGCAAACTGCATAATTAATTACTGTTGTCGATATTTCTATAACTGTAGTAATTATTTACGAATTGACTAAATCAGTCGAATTTACACAATTTGCGTAATTAAGGTATATTAAAAATGTATCTTATAAAATAATTATACGAAAAATATAAAACACTTATCAAATAATAAGTTATACAATTTAGTTGAAATTCTTTTACCAAATCACATAATTGATATTGCATCCGAAATTCCCATATTTGGGTAAATCACCCAATTCACATGATTTGAGTATTTAAGATAACTTAAAAATGAATTTACCGCAAGTGATTATTTGAAATATACCATAAATTGTTAAATTAATTTGAGTAATTAAGGTATCTTAAAAATATATTTTTATATGACGTAATTATTTCCTTAAATACTGAGCCGCAATTTTCTATAATTGATTATTTAAAATATACCATAAATTGCTAAAATAATTTCCCAAAATAGTAAATACATTTTTTTGGAGGGAAATAGTTACTATTCAAAAAATAACCAAACAATTTTATATTGGTACGAATCCCGTGTGATGCACGGATAAGTGATATTCATTAATATTTGTAAATAAAAAATTCTCATTAAATAATATTTATAAATTAAAAATAGAATCAATATGTAATACAATTTACCTATATTAATTTATTGAAAATACTAAATTTAATTAGATTGTGAAAAATTATATAAAAGTGTCTATTTAAAATTAATACACTACTCGTGTTGTGCACATATAATAAAATTGTTATATTTGTTTCAAAATAAGTGTCATTTCAAAATTTTTATTCAAAAAATCGTTTTGATTATAATGTGATACCATAACATAATTATTTTGATAAAATTTTATCATTTAAAAACCTATGTGAATAATAAGTATAAATATAAAATTGATATTGTTTCAGTAATTAAAATGAATTTATTTATGTATAAACTATCCAAATAAAAAAAATTAAGTAGCTGAGTAATTTATTAAACTATAAATAATTGACTATTATATTTACGTCTAAGTTAATATTGACCCGTAAGTTATAAATAGTTATTATTTGATTTTTAATTTTAAATAAAAATCATATTTTTTTTGTCAATATATTATATATCAAATTTAAATCATGCAACTAATAAGGTTAATAGTCGCAAGTTGTGTTAATATACCAAATTTAAATTGTGCAACTAATAAAGGTAATAGACGCAATATTTAACAAAGTGAATCTGTACATTAATTACATTGATTTTTTTAATTTAAATTTCAAATGATTGGCTGCCACTTTTCAAAAATATTTAAAAACGTTACTAATAAAGGTAAAATTGATTTATTTTTTCGGGATTTTAATTACTATTTCAGGTAAATAGGAACTTCTATATATATATATATATATATATTACAAAAATAATACTAATAATAATTTTTTCACATAACTTTATCATGAAATAAAGTTAATTGTTTCACATATTTATGTCAAAAAATAAAGTTAGTTGGGTCTTACAATGAGAAATTAACTAATAAGTGAGCCTTAAATTGAGAATAACCTAAAATGTAAGTTTTCTATTGACAAAGAATAAAATATAGGTCTTATATTGTTACAATTTAAAAAAGTCTAGTTTTGTAATGGAATTTTTCCCTAAAAAAATAACTCAAGAAATGCAGACACCTCAAAAAAATTGTTAAAAACATTATATGAAAAATATGTAGAATGTAAAAAAAAAAAAAAATGTATGAACAATATGTAGTTAATTCATTAGACAGGAATGTTTATTCATTGAAGTTCTTAAAATGAAAGCGTGACTGGATTTTTATAGGGAATTTACTCATCGATTTAATTGCTAAACAAAATCAAAGTAGTTTTCGTCAGATATAACCCCCGTAAATACTGAATGAAAATAGTGAAAGTATATTTTACAATTAATCTTATTTTTGAAAATTATGTTTGCAGCTTAGGTTATGTTGTAAAGTAGTTGACTGAATATTCAAGGAATATTTTCAATCCGGTAGGTTATGTTGCAAAGTAGATGACTGAATATTTAAGCAACATTTTCATCCGGAATTTTATGTAATTTGCATTAGAAAAGTTAAAATAAACAAATTTCAGTAGAGTTGATTTGGAAATTAATAATTTTAATAATTAAAGTTTCATGGAGAATGATATTGTACATTTTTTAAACATTGAATGTTGACAGATTATCCATCACATTAAAGAAAACATATATTTGTCAATATTCTTTTATCTCAATTTTTTTTTTAAATTATGCTACCAAATGCTTGTCTAATAATCAATTAATATAAATTCATCTAAATATCAAATTCGGATAGGATATAAATGCTAACATATATGCAAAGTGCTCGGAAAATGTTCAACTAAATATTTCAATCCGCTATTTCTTAGGATTTTGTCAACAAATTTAATTGAATAAATAAAAATAAAATTGAAAAGGAAAATGTTATTTTTGTCAAATAGAATTTTAGCACTGATTTCGGCCTCTTTTTTTTTGGAAAGATTTTAAATCNACTTTATTTTCATACCAAAATAAATTTCACCAATTTTATACCATAAATTACTTTATTAATTTCCCGATATAGTAAATATAATTTTTTGGCGGAAAATAGTTACTATTTTAAAAATAATCAAACCTTTATATATATATATATAGATATAGAGTTGTTGCATGTGGTCTTACCATCTGGCCATTTCATATCACCGGCTATCACTAATCATCTTTTATTGTATGTTGTCAGTGGCGCACCGCTCGATTATTTCGCATGACCATGCATACTTCTTTATAATATTTTGATCAACAGTTAACTCACCGGCTATCGTTATATATTGTATGCTAGTGGCACAGCCGCACTGGATAATCCATATAGCCACACATATTTATTTTTATCTCATAAAGGTTAACCCATAAATACTTACAAGTTTACATTCCAAATATTAGGGAAAATATTGAAACTAGTCCCGTTGTTTTCCGGTTTTCCACTTTTGGTCCCAATGGAATGGTGTTTCCAAAAATATCAGTCTTCTAACTTTTTAAATTCAA